GAAACTAAATAGGTGAAATTTTTATGGGACACGATCAAAGGCGAGGATATAAGAGCGAGAGGTTGAAATTGAGTATAGGAATAGCGTACAGGGGTATGCGTTTCGACCTAACAGTTTTCTTCAGCAGGCTTTTTTAAGAGGAGGGGGTGTAGATATAATATAATTTGAAGAGGAGAAGGAAGGAGAGTTTAGGAGAATTTGAAGAGGAGAAGGAAGGAGTTATTATTATTATAAAATAACGGAAAATAACCAATTACACAGTACAAAAACGAAGGTGAAACGATGTAACTACTATACATGTTATTAGTCAAGTTATCCTACCAAAGGCCTTGTTGTTTGCGGGACATTCCAACACTACGCACTTTATTGTTCATCGTTCGTATTGGTGAAGTGAAGCAAATTTGCAGGTCCTTCAATTAAGGGTTAACTTACTCAATGGTATAGTGAGTTTGAATGATTGTGATAAGGATGATCATGTGACTGTAGGTGATTGCATCCAAATATGGTGTTAGTGGTGTAGGAGCTTATAAGACAGGGATAGGGGCGTTTGGCAATTAATCGTAGTTTCCCTAGTTTTTTTTACGTACATGTTCATCATAGGAGTCGGAGTAAAGAAATGAAGAACAACCATTTTTGGAATACTGGTACTCTCATTATTTAGGCTACACAATGTCTTACACCAGTACTTGTCCAATTACCTATTATACACCAAAAAATGTAAAAACAAAAAACTAAAAAATGTATATACATGCATACAAAAAAATATCGTGCAAGTCCTCCGACTGACAAAAAAAAATCGAACAGTGTCAGGAGGCGGAAAAAAAATATCGAGCAAACTGAAAATCTACCCACCCCCCATCAAAAATCAAATGGTCCGTCCCTTAAAACTACAGTACATGGGAAATGAAGATAAATTAGTGTTAATTCAATTAAATGCGTACCCTATTTTGAACGAGACTTTTCCTCCGGTGTTCGTGGATTAAGGATTTTTACAGCCTGGTGTAATAGTCTTAACACATGATTATGTAGCGTACTTGAGCACTTCCTTATACGATGCTTATCCTCTCTTTAAACGTGATAATTGCCCTGCTGCTCTTACCTCAAACTACGTCTGTTTAAATTAATGATTTTTAATAAGGTTATATTTCATTTGCACCCATTATTACCTCCGCCAATATGCGTGTGTTTTGTCTGTTAGCGCAATAACTATCAAACGTAAAATATCAAACGTATTAATACGAAACATTGTAGGGTTAATTGTAGTAGGCCAAGGACAAATCGATTAAATTTTGGTTCAATTTCAACGAAAATTATTATTATTATTATTATTAAAACTTTATTTAAAGAAGGTTAATTTACAAGGAAATATGCCAGTTTAGCTTTCGCTAATCTTCCACTGGACCTTCTAAAGCCAACTACAGGATGTATAAAAAAAACTCATAACCCTTTCAAATTCAAATTAGCTATAACGTATTGTAGTAATTTGACAGCTCTAATTGCCTTGAATTAATGGTTGGGTAAGAACACAAGGAATACTGTATTTCTTTTAAATTTTCTAATTTTTATTTCTTTGAGTTTTGTCCCATGAGTACAAGACCTAGTGTTCTTATCCAACCATTAATTTAAAGCAATTAGAGCTGTCAAATTACTACAATACGTTATAGCTAATTTGAATTTGAAAGGGTTCAGTTTTTTTTATACACACTGTATAGTAATCAAATATATTTACATGTAGTACAATTTACATTTCTACAGACTACATAATTACAGACACAGTGTACATAATTACATAATGTACATATCGATATAGGTATGACGAATTAGAATTAACATACACTGTACATCTTACGAGTTATTTTTACACATATCCCAAGAACAATTCATGGGCTTTACGCTTGAATGCTTGAAATGAGCTGGAAGATCTAATTACGATAATGTTTGTGTAAACCCAATTCACAATTTCAGATTACTCACATGTCTAGTTAACTATTGTCCTAGTTTACAGAAGCCTAGAATAGAACAAAGGTAACTAACCCGTAGAATTACAATAATTCGTATAGCTTAAAATTTACGGTACACTGGGTATTCTAATAAAATACAATACAATGCCAATGGAAACTCCGAAGAAATTAATTTAATTCAACGTTTCGACTACTGTTGAGTCATCATCAGGAATTATGAAAGCTACTAAAAATTTTACAAGTTACATCTGTATATATAACTTGTAAAATTTTTAGTAGCTTTCATAATTCAGTGATGATGACTCAACAGTAGTCGAAACGTTGAATTAAAAATATGAATTTCTTCGGAGTTTTTCCATTGTATTGTATTTTCGTATAGCTTAGTTGCCTTTGTTTTATTGGGTTTAAACAAATGTTAGCCAAATTTTTGTCTACAGAGCGTTTGCACGCATTCCGCAAGGACCAACAGTCAACAAAAGCCATGGCGGCCGTGTTGTAGCCTGCGTGCAGTGCCGTGTTGGTGTTCCAGACAAAAAAGTCTAATTAAAATTCTTTTGAATTGGAACACCAACATGGCGGCTGTGACGTCATGCGCAAACGCTCTATTGAGTATTGGCTAAAGTTTGTCTTATTTTCGCGGGCAGAGAAGAGTGAATGAGCATTAGTATCTCTAGAAAATAATGAAGTTTTTTGCTGAATTGTGCACAATGACTTATTTCAATACATCGAAATCATCCCGCCTCATATCTCGTCCTGGCAAAGCGGTTCATATAAACAGCCCCTTATTCAGCAGTCTTTCAGCAAATTGCGCATGCTGCCTTTGATCCCTTGGGGGCGAGGCAGCACTTTCCTTGCGATAATAACTCCTAGTTATGCATAATACTATAGACTTGATTCGTTGATGGAGGTATATATACAGTCTTTGAGTGTCCTCTAGTATACACGTATATAGGAAGAAGTGGTCTGCCTTTGGTTAATCAACAATTTCCTGTTCACCTTGAATGGTACTTTTATCTGTTTTGAAGATGTTCCAACTCTTAAAAACTATATACCTCATTGCTAACTTTAGCTAACCTTAATTTAAAAAAAATTAATTTAATATTTGTATGGCGCTAAAACTATAAATATTCTAAAATGCTGTTTACAACAGTAAAATTACAATATCGGCGCATATTTATTTATTTATTTAGCTTTGCCAACTAGGGCAGGGTCACCACAACAGCATATGCCAATTACTGTGGGCCCTTTTTACCTAACCCACCCTGTCAACTTTCCCTGTGGGAGGAAACCGGAGTACCCGGGGAAAACCCACGGCTTTCGGCAGAGCGTTGACTTTTGCTCTTTTCACATGGGGACTGGGTTCGAGTCGCACTGAGAAGGTACTTAGTGAGACTCGAACCTGCAGCCTCAGAGGTGAAAGGCAAGTGCGCTAACCACTTGGCCACCAAAGCCCCTTAAATATCTATTACAAGAAAGTTCAGTTTAGAGCTAGTTCCTTTACTCAGCTGGTTTCGGCAGTTCTGGTCAATTGTGGTTAAAAGGTCGAGGCAAAAGAAAGTTTACAACATGCAAACTAGACATAGACTATTAACACACTAACAAACAAACTAACAAACTATCAGACTAACAGACTAACAAACTAAAATACCTCATTTTTTAAAGAAAAATTCCTCAATCAGCCATTGTCCTAATTTGTTAATTAGAGAGGTAGTCTTTAGACTGCTTGGTTCATTTTGGAGGCGTTAATTAAATGTCAACCCTTTTTATAGAATATTAGTTCTTTTCGCAAAAATACTGTTAATAGTAATTACTGCAAAAATTACGCTTGATTAATAAAGCTATGATGGTTTCTCGAATATTCATTAATTTATATACAAGTATCAATAAAATAATGCCAATTTAAATACAAGTATCAATAAAATAATTTCAATTTTGCCAATTGAAAATGCTATTAGTTGCAATTAATGTCGAAATTACCCTTAATTAATAAAGCTTTTGTTAGAGTATTGAAAGATATAATAGCCTTATGTGGAAATAATTGTATTAAATACCAAATACTTATTATACCATTGACATTTTAAAAATAGAGCTCACTCACTCCATAAAAACAGAGCAAATAGTTTGTAAACTGGTGAACGACACTATATTGCCAGTTGAACGCGAGGAATATTCAAGCGAAAACTGACAGTAGCAGAATTCAACATTTTAAAATAGGTACATTTACATTGTTCTTTACCTATCTACAACGAAAAAAAAGCACCAAGAAGTCCAGAGATGAAACGCTTGTCGCTGGAATTTTTAGTACTTTTCAACGTATTTTAATTTGAATTAGCATTTGAGTAATTCTACATATTTCTACATATCGTGCGCGTAATTTAATCATTTTAATGCGCAATTTCCTCTCACTAAATACTTTTACGACACTTATTTTATGACGCACAAAACATCTTTCAATTCCGTATATGAATATTAAAGCGCAGCTCGAGTGTTTTATATCTGATAATGAAATAATGCACAGACTACGAGTGTCTCAATTATTGCTTGACACAATTATTCAGTGATCCATTAAAATTTTGTTTTTGTGACAACTGTTCGTACGACACCAATTGGGAAACTTTTCTATGTGATGATGTTTTTCTCTTTTATACACTTTTATAAAAATGAAGAATAAATTTCTCAGCCCCCCTCTTGTTCCTGGCAATTAGTTTGGAGCCCCCTAGTCCCCCAATCTATAATTAACGTCATTGTTAACCGTTCGTATTAGAGATGTTATCCATATTAGAAACTTCTCCGTTTCGTAGGGCGGTCGTATTGGAGTGGATACCGTTAGCAGAAGTTCTACTGTATTAGCAGTTTATATTGATTGGTCATGGTCTTTATTGGTTCATGGAAAATTATTTCTATTTAAATTCTACACTGTCTTTAAACCGATACTTGCTAAGCGTGCCAAACTGTATAAACTATAAAGCCAAGTTGAATGATAATGTCCAATTTCGACAATGGCACTCTCAAAGTATTTCATCAATTTTGCAAATTATAAAATTTTTGACAGATTTGTTGAAATTGTTTAAGAGCAGCAATCATTTGTGCAATTAACTTCGCTAAACAGTGATTAACTTCGTGCGTAATGTCAGGTTGCGGAGGTCATTACACTGAAGGATGAATGAATAAACTCGCATGCTAATACTGTTTAATTAAGAACCTCAATCACCGAACCACTCCTAAAGAAAATGCAGACACGTTTAAAAAAATCAAGGTCAAAAATGATTTTGGATTGGCGAAATACTAAGAGATGGACATTTTTTAAGTGTAGACATTTACATTCGAGGTTTTCATCCGTGCAGTGGAGCAACGCTCATTAGGTAGGGTTAGTTCAAAAACTAAGGGCCCCGAACAGTTAGGGGAGCCCATACACGAATCGCGAAATTCGGGCAAAAATCACAGTTAAAGAAAAACATGCAGCTATGACTGGATGATTTAAAATATGCGTATTTAAGTATTCAAATGTTCACTCCTGCATTCATGATTACATATTACTACAATACAACACGAATGCATGGCTGAACATTTCATTTTCCGATATCATCATTTAAACAATGATATTTGTGATGTTACTCTGAGTGTATATCCACACCGTGCGAGCTTGAAAAATATGCCCGGCCACGGTGGGATTCGAACCTACGACCTTTGGAATACTAGCCCAATGCTCTTCCAACTGAGCTACGCGGTCAGGACGGTTCGAGTAAGTGATATTTCGGAACAGAATCTAGTTCCTTCGATACCAATGTATTCTAATATGATTTTTTTTCTGTGTTGGTGTTGTGTACTCAGGTGAATATGATATTTGTGATGTTACTCTGAGTGTATATCCACACCGGGCGAGCTTGAAAAATATGCCCGGCCACGGTGGGATTCGAACCTACGACCTTTGGAATTTAAACAACTTGCCAAAATTCTTCACAAACTTTTTTATTTCAAATAACCAAATTCACCAATACAACACTCGAAACTCAACTAAACTTCATAAGTCTTATCAGAGAACTAACTACGTCAAGCACTCGCTTTCAGTGAAAGGGGTGGACGTTTGGAATAATCTTGACAGTAACTTAAAAATAATAACATCACGTCCCATTTTTAAGAAAAAATCAAAAATACACTTTCTATGTAATTAATCTTATAAAACACTTTAACTGTAATTTCTCTTCATGTAAATAGATATTTAACTCAAGCTTCTCATTTTAATTATTAATAGTAAATACTCAAATATTGATTGTAACATAACCTCGCTTTTTGTAAATACTTAGAACCGATGACAATTTAACTATATATATTAGCACCAAGACTTTAAACTAGGGGTCTAAATCCAAATGCCTCAGACCAGTCACAGCTGCATGTTTTTCTTTGAATTCCCCGACTCAGGACGCGTCACACGGCCTATCTCCCAGAAAATTAGAAAACGTAAAGAATGTAGGTGAAGAATCAATGAGAAAATGCAAAATTAATAATGCTAAATAATAAAGCCTCCATCGACGACGGTAGCTGATTTTTTTATTCCATCTCAAAAATAAAACAAAAGTGTTGTTACATGTGTTGGAGATTGTTATTAGATAGCTTAAGATCTACGACGTCGACGTTAGCTAGGACGTCAGGGCTATGCAGAGGACTGGGACTACATTAAGGACGACATCCTAGTCCCAGTCCTCTGCATAGCCCTGACGTCCTAGCTGACGTCGACGTTGTAGATCTTAAGCTATCTATTGTTGTTGTTACACGGAATTTTCCAGAACATTCTATAAATATCCAACATAAATATAATATCTCATGTTTGTGATGTTACTCAGAGACAGAGTAACATCACAAACATATTCACCTGAATACATAACACCAACACAGAAAAAAATTACAAAATCTCAGTCAAATAATGACAGCAGTCAACAGGGCCCCCACACCAAATATGCCTAAGGCCCCCTCTTCCCCCGTTATGCCACTGTTTCCATCTACAAATCTCTTCATCAACTGGTCCTATCGAGTTAGATGTCCAAATCCTCAGCCTAGACCTAGGCCTTCACATGAAAAGACTGGGACTAGGTGATGACCATTGCGATAATTACCAAATGCTAGCCGGAAATTGACCAAACCTGCCAAAGATACCTGCCAAAGTCAGCCGAGTAAAGGCCTAGGTCTAGGCTGCAAAATCCTGATATTTGCTCATACACCTTACCTTAGTATTTTGGTTCAGTAATTAACTTTACAATCATTATATAAAAAATACACATACAGCTATGATTGAAGGATTGGATAACAGAACTAGAATCCCATATACTAAGACCATCCATGTAACACCACGACATTACGGACTACAATAACTGGAAATTATCTAACCGCAAGTTCATGTATATAACTGGCCTCGACAACTGGCCTCTGTAGCTCAGTTGGTTAGAGTGCTGCACCGGAATCGCAGGCTCGATTCCTGCAGAGGGCCTATACAGGGTGTATCAAAAAAAAGGTAATCGAACTTCAGCGCGCTATTATACGTGAGTTACCTGGCGTAGGAACAATTGGTTTTCATATTCGGAAAGATCAGGCTTTTAGCTATTGAATGACATGCTTTTCATGACAAGTGGAGAAAAAATAAGCATGTAGGAGGCCGATTAAAAATGTTAGTCAAAATCGCATATTTTCACCTCTGCCTAATTAAAACAATGCATAACTAAAGAAAAAGCAATTAATCACGAACGTGTCGTAGCTTAGCTAAGATTTATTCCGACTTAATAATTATTATGAATATGTGTACAGTTTAATGAAGTGAAATTCATCAACTTAAGTCCTAAAGTGGGTTCATTTTCAATGGAAAAATTTTAGACCCAACTCTCAACGGTGAAAATATGTGATTCTGACTAACATTTTTTATCGGATTCGTATTTGCTCATTTTTTATCCATTTGGCACGAAGAAGATATCATTCAACAGCTAAAAGCATGATCTTTCCGAATGTGAAAATATCTCGTTCATACGCAGAGTAATTCAGATACAATAGCGCGTAGAAGTTCGATTACCTTTTTTTTATACACCCTGTAATTGCATTTTCACAACTGCTCCTAGTAAATGTATAAAAATTAAACTCGAAATTTCCATCTACAAACCCTTCTAACTTAGCCTACTCCCGCAGGCACCTCGTGGGTCACACGATGTTGCACATTATTTTTGCCCGCGACCAAATTCTGCCCGCCAATCTAAAGGCGTTGCCAGCAGAGAGGCCCAAGAAGAACGGAAGAAGTTATTTCGCTGACCTCAGATTTAGAAACAAACTTGGAGTAGGGTTAGGGCAAGGATTAGGGTTAGGGTTAGAGTTGGTGTTTGGAATAGGGTTAGTGTTAGTAAAACCGTTGCTTTGTTACGTTTTGTCACTCTGAGGCCAGCGAAATAACCTCTTCCAAGAAGAGCTCGCCTTGCACTCATTTATTGTCAAACTTAAACTGGCAAATATCGTTTCAGTGTAGTCCAAGAAGAGCTCGCCTTGCACTCATTTATTGTCAAACTTAAACTGGAAAATATCGTTTCAGTGTAGTCCAAGAAGAGCTCGCCTTGCACTCATTTATTGTCAAACTTAAACTGGAAAATATCGTTTCAGTGTAGCAATTGTGCAGTTTGTCACGTTTTCAATTAAGCACCGCATTTATAGGATGCACGACATTCTTTGTAACTTACATCACGAAAAAAAGTCAATAGCTTCCATTTGGAGTAATAGGATTATATACATACGGTTCACTATTGGAAGGTGGTGAAATTCTTTACTTGATGTTTAAGATAATTAAGAATCATTTAACGAAGTATCTTTCATGACCTGACCTCCACCTCCCTAAGTTCCTCCAAGAAATTAAAATGCTTTGAATACTCATTTAAAAAATATTAAGTAGAGGTGAAAGACGAAAGTAAAGGCTGGTTCACACTATAGTAATTCTGTCGGCGATTTTTCTCCTGCTGGCAAATGTGATCGAATAAATGACATATAAAAGACTTACGCCTGTATTCTAAAAGCTCACTCACACTCAATGAGTGGAGGTTCAATCTTAGCTTCCCTTGAGTGTCAACTGCTGTTTTTGAATAGCTGGAGGGTGAGTAGTCACATAGTAAGGTACGGCACTAACCCTCCAGCTATTCAGAAACAGTACAGACACACAAGGGAAGCTCAGATTGAACCTCCACTCATTGAGTGTGAGTGTGAGTGTGAGTGAGCTTTTAGAATACAGGCATTAGAATTGTTTACTTCTGAAAAGCGATTTTATACTTTTGTGTGCGAGAGTTTACTTGCAGTTGAAAGCATAGATACCTTATATACACTAGATAGCGCATCTCTTTTAGTAAAATTGAAGGCCAAGAATATTCCAGCGGTTACCCCCATTTGAATAGATGGCGGCCATATTATTGGAGTTTCCCACTCGCTAATAAACGCTTAAAAAACAACAACAACTTTCATCATTTGAATTGTTTGAAAATGTATTTGGAATAGGTTTAACTTAATGTTTAAGTTCCCTGTTTAAGAAATAGAAAACATACGAGTCTTCTCATTTCATGGGAATATCTGAGTCTGCAATCACGGCTTCAATTTTTGAATTGCAGAATAATTAGATGCACTATCTAGTGTATATAAGATATCTATATGGTTGAAAGCTGTATCTCAAACTCATTAGTAATTCATGAGTAAATTAGCCAACCATAATGTTGCTTTATTTTGCTCACATGATAATACTGGATACCTGGTAAAGTATATTGATCCAGTCCTAGGACTGGATCAAAATAAATACAGTCCTCAATTCATTCACCTCTCTTTAAGTAGTGATTTATTCGTATGAGAGATGTCATTTCAAATCCTCCAATTCGGACTGGACTACTACAATCACTTTCAAAAGTTGTTGGAACACATGCAGTTTTAAGACGTAAATCAATCCATACAATTTGTTACACACGATATCACACTCCTCCCCAATCAATGTTGTTTTCTCAAGTCGAATACCAATACTCATCAAACTTGACGAACAATTAGTCATTCCGAAGTTGATGAGAAGATTGGGGACGAGTGTTAAAAAGTGCCCAAATTAAGAAATGAACCAAATAACTAAAAAGACCACCTCAAAATTAGTAAGTATACAAAGTTTGAAGACGTTTACATGAATATCCTTCGAATAATAAGCTTTCGAAAATCGTGAAATTACTGATTAAAAGATTGTTTTTGGGACGCGCGTCCCAAAAACAAAAATTACAATACATTTCGTAGTAAATATCACGATTTTCGAAAGCTTATTATTCGAAGGATATTGATGTAAACGTCTTCAAACTTTGTATACTTAATAATTTTGAGGTGGTCTTTTTAGCCGGTTCGGTTCATTTCTTAATTTGAGCACTTTTTAACATTCGACCCCAGTCCACTCATCAACTTCGGAATGGCTAATGGCACACGACATTGAATAGGGGGGG